TGTTTTGTGCAGGATAGGGACAGCGGTGTCCCCCTTAGAACAGCCATGGCACCCGCCTCCTAAGAAAAAAGCAAAAAAACGCATAAAAAGGAGCAATTATGCTTAATCTACTAACAAATTGGACCGAGGGAAATTCACTGTGAATGGGAGGTCCTGGAAGTATCAAACAAAGTCTCTCTGGAATGTTTACAAATTCAAAGTTTTTACAGCGCTTATTAGCAGAAGAACAGTCTGGCATGGTTACGCTCGGCGCATAACAGCAGCATCCCGGTGATATCATTAACATGAGATAATCACACCGCCTATCGGGGGAACTTGGAAATGTTGGTATGGGCAGAAAAATTTCTGGAACGATACCGCATAATTTGCCTAATAAACATGCAAATGAGGCAGTTCTTTCGAAAAAGAAAAGTGCTTTTTCAAACGTACTGTGTGCAACGGAGTGCGCCACTGGATCAGCAATAAATCAGGAAGCATCACAATTTTATCCAGTAAATAAAGCATACTCGTGTGTAAATTTTTCTGGAACGGATAGTTAGTGCATACCTACTCCTGTTTCCCATGTGAAACATTCTGTACGATGAGTGCCAAAAGTAAATATTAGCTATCCTCAGCCCAGTTATCCTGACTGACTTGTTACGCTGGATCTGGCGCCCGCAATCCACTGCATTCAACATAAAATCTGGTCTGAACCGAGACAGACGATAAGCACCAATTTATCGGATCAAAAAGCTGACTCAGGCAGACAGGCACCATCAGTAAAATCCCATTACCCTGGACGACACTGTTAGCCTTTTCTACCGCACCATTCCGGTCAAGAACGGCACCGGAACACAAATAACGATTTACCTCTGGAATTTTGCATTGCTTTTCATCGTCGTATCGCCTCACCACGACATTGCCAGCAGCATCCTTTTCATTGCATCTGCATCCTCCAGATGGTTTCGGGAAGCAGTCCTCTTTAAAATCACCGTAGCGCCTCCGAATTTCTTGATTCAATTCATCCTTGTGTATTGCTGTTTGCGCTAGAAAGATATTTAAGGAAATTTCCAAAAAGATTGTGGTTTTTGTTCTCCTCAAGAAAAAACAATACTAACACTTTTTCTGGCGTAATCGCTCACAAAACGGCTGAAGATCTTAATTAAACTCGGCTCGACTTCATTCTCAGAAGATAAACGACTTTCTTATTATTTTTAAGGTGGGCGCTCACGCATATCAAAGCGGACAGAAAAAATTGAGGGGACGCAACCTGGTATGAAAAGAACTAGCAGAAATGATTTGTCCCCTGGGGGAATTTCGGCCCACAGCGGCAGTCCGGATAATTTTCGCAATTAATTAATTAATAACATTTAAAATGATGGTGAAGCAGGGAAAAAGAGTTGTAAAAGCAAAACTGATATTACTGGAACAAAAAAGTGAAAAAATATGTTAACTAGAAAAAAAAATCTTCGGTCCATTAAGTGGTATAC